CCCTCCGCCGAGGGGTGCAAGGGGGGGGGGTGGGGGGGGGGAGATGTTGGAATCTGAGAAAGGACTTCAAAAAGGGAAAGGTGGGGGGCAGGAGTGGAAGTTTGCAGGGTGGCAAATGGGTGGGAAAAAAGCCTGAAGAATATTCACCTGGGGGGGGGGTCATATGTTCAGGAGGCTTAGTGAGAATCTAAGCTGAAAAGTAAAACTGGCCTGACTGCTGAAGAGCTCCAGAAAGTAACCAAATGGAGCCCAGAGCGAGGGAGAGTTGGCTGGAAAAACCACTATCTGCTGGTGCGTGGGTGGGTGTTTTTTGGGAAGGGGGGCAGTGTATTTGTGATTCAGTGATTTGGAATCCAGGGGAAAGTAGAAAACAGGGGCAGAAAGGAGAGTTTTGTCCGCTGAGACTCTGAATCTAAAAACTTGTTGAAAGAAGAGGAATCTTGGAAGATTAGGTTGCTATGCTGTGAATGTGTTTTGAGTAAAAGGTTTATTTTTCCAGAGGCAATAAGTGAAATTCTTCCATCTTTACTGACGAAATAAAGGATTTTTTGTCCTCAAGGGGTAGGCAACTAATTAAATTGTCTTTTTTTCTCTCTGATTTTGCTTAATTTCCTTTGTTTAGTCAGCACTGAGTGGTTTCTGGTACCAAGTCCTTCTGCTCATCCAATCCAAGGAGGCCTCTGCAGTAGGTAAGAATGTCTGAATTCACATGTTGCTGTTAAAAGTCTCAGCAAATGGTGGCACCTGGCTGACCAGGTCTCAGTTCAGAAGCTAAGTGGGGTTAAGGTAGTTAGTGCTTGGATGGGAGACCTCTTGGAAATCCAAGGATTGTTGGTTAGACTAGGAAGTAGAAACTCCTTGGAAGAAAACAAGGGCAGAAGGGCAAATTCCATGAGGTTCCCTTCCATCGCAGATTGAATCAGTGAGAGACTTTACTTATGCCAAAGCGTGATCCGCTTGTTGCCCTCCAGCTGGGATCTGTATGATAGACACAATTAAAATATTTTGCATTTCAATTATTTTTAACCTTGCATTGTTAACCTTTGAGTGGAGAATGCTCCTTTGATGTTTTCTAAAAAAAATTCCTGCATGAGAAAACAATGATTAGAAATGGGGCTCTTTTACTTGATTAAAAAAAAAAAAATGCTCCCCAAGAAGAGCAGGGATAATTGGATTCACACAGTACATTAAAGCAGGCTAAAACGGGGTGGGGTGGTTTGTGGTCTGGTGAGTTTGGTGAACCTAGCCGTGGTCTTTGCAGATTGGGTGAATCCTGCTGTCAGATGAAGCTGTAAAATGGTTTCTTTGTCTGGAGCACTAGATGTCTGAGGAACGCAGCGACTGTGGTTTGGTTTTAGTGTGTTGTTTAAACACAGTTGATGGGTTTCTTTGAGTGCGCGCTCTCTCTCCAGCTTCCACTTCAGTTAGTTAACAGCACTGCCCTCGCATTCCTTCAGATCCTCTTCTGAAAAACTGCCCAGCATGGGAAGTAGTTGTTGAGATGGCAGCTATATAAATTGAATAAATAAATACACAGCTGGGCTCTCTCTCCCCCCTCTCCAATCTTGTATAGTACAGGTTCAGTTTCACTCCATTTATTCCTAGGATTTTTGTTCACTTTAGTTCCCGTGCTCAAAATACAAAGCCTTCTTTGTGTCTTCAAGATAAGCGCATACCTTTGAGGTTGAGGAATGTAAAAGGGAGGAAGAAAAGCAAAAATTGGTGGTTAGTTTCAAGGCAATACAGCTAGACTGTTTTTTGCAGACCTTGGTTCTGCTTATTTCACTCTTCCCTTGTTGATCCCCTCTTAGATTCTACATTTAAATAAATAAATATGGCTGCTTCATCTGTGAGATATGTGTATTTGGAGGAAATCCTAAAATCCATAGCTGATGATTACCGTTCTTAGCATCAGAGAACCTTTCTCAACCTGGAGTCCTCTGGACAGTTTGGGCACTGAGTCCCATCATGCTCTACTGGCATAATTGGTGATCATGGGTGCAGTAGTCCAGCATCTCTGAAGAACACTGGGTTGGGGAAAAGCAGATCTGTTTAATGACTGGACGCTTTCTTGAGTACATGCTGGTAGATGGCCGGTATACCAAACTAGATGCACAAATGTTATGCTAACAGACTCTGGGGTCCTTGACTTCTATCCACAACAGAAGAGGCCTTGAGCCAGCCTGAAACCTGCGTGGTATTTTGTGGAACATTTTTTTACTTTTGTGTGTTAAAGCGCCTTGGCAGCAGGCTGGAATATGAATGCATTAAACCGGCAATGTTTGTTGAGAAGAACTTCCGTTGTTTGATGATGCACGCTTGTTGTTTGATAATCGCATGCTTATTTTAACAACAGCATGGATCCTCATAAAGGCAGAGTGAGCCAAGTGGCATCTCTTTCATTGTTGGCTGCTGGTATGTTTGCAGTAAAACCTGTAAAGGAAATCAGCCAGTCGTCTGTTTCTCTGTCTAACCTCCCTGCAACCCCTCCTGTACGTTCCCTCTGTTTTGCAAAAGATCCCAGAGATTAGATGCCAGACAAAGAAAGACCTTTCTTAGCTAGAGACACATTAAGCCAGATGAATTGGTGTATTATGCAGTTGGTTTGTTGAACATCCGGAGGGCATCAGATTGGAGAAAGCTGTAGAGAGGTGGGGAAAAAAATTCATGCTAAGCTATTGTGTTATTTTGCTGTTGATTTAGTGTCTCTGAGAATTTGCCTCTTGTGGTTTGTTTAATGTGGTTTATGGCTTGGCACAGGGTGTGAGCCCAGCAACTTGTGGCCTATTATCAGCTAGGTTTCAACAAACTATGGCTTACTGGGGTGTGTGTGTGAAAGAGCTCTAAAAAGAGATGTCGATGTCAGCAACAAGACTTTAGTTCAATTGCGATACCTTAATTTTAATAATTAAAATTAAAATATTGGATGATGAAGCAATATCCACCTTGGTGTAAAGGCACCTTAGCATGTGTGTAAAGATAAACTTCCTCAAGCATATCTCTCATTGACTACATCATATGTCCATGCGATTTTCTTGGAAATGACACGGAAGTGATTTTTCCTTCTGGGAAGTTTTTTCAACTTCTTAACAGTCTCCCATCCAAGTATTAACCAAGTCCAGCTCTGATTAGCTTCCCTGGATTGGCTAGGATCAGCCAGATGCAGCCCCTGCTGTGATGTTTGTATGGTGTTATCCATTTTCCCGGTAAGGGAAAGAATAATTGGCAGTTGTGGAGTACTTCCTTTCTCCTTTGGTGAGTGATATTTCTGATTCTTCTACAGCTGGGATTTGGGGTGTTCACTCTGCTACCTCCAAATCTCTCATGGCGCTGAAGGCAGAGACCCCCCTGGCAGACTACACCGAGGTCTCTTCGGCCATCTCACGCTTCAAGGAGAAGGAGAAAACTGCTGCTGATTCTCGGCTCCTCGTCTGTCCCTCGGTGAAGCAGGATGGAGCACCCGTAAACCCTGTGGACAAAGGTGGGAAACGTTTCCCACAAGCATTGGTGGCTTTGGAAAGGCAGTGGGAACAACCCAACGGAGAAGGGTGCCCAGGGCCCTGGGCATGACAAGGTGATGGGAAATAATTTTACAAGCACCAAAGATTTTAAGCCTGGAAGTGAGCTGTGTGATCCAGAATGAGAGACAAGTTTAGGATTAGAGCAAGGCTGTAAAGCACTAGGATGTGTTGTCCATCTTTAGAAAGAAGAAACTTTTACAGGGGTTGGATCAAATGTTCTTATTAAGCCTACTAAATTCAATGAACAGGTGTATCAGCAGCTCCCGTTTTGTGTGCTCCAGCAAGAAGACCTAATTTGCTTGCCTCCCAGCCCCAACCGCTATCTTTCCATTCCCCCCACCCTCCCAAACCTTGATGAAAGTGTGCTGGCTTTTCCACGTTGATTCACCAGATCCAAGTTGGATCCCAAGCTGGGAGTAGCCAGATTCTACCTCAGGTTTGTTCTTCCAAGCAGGCTGTTCCTGACATCACAACAGATCCTGGGACAGGATACCAACATCCTAAAGCAATACTGCAAGCAAGGTGGCTGGAAATTCAGGATATGAAATGGGCAGCCTGAAACACTTAGCCTGAGATGGGCAGCCTGCAGGCGGCATTGCCCAGATGGCTCAGGTGGGGGTGCTGTTTTATAGGGTATGGGGTTCTTTGGGTTTGCTTCAAAGTTGCGATATAACTACTTCAGAGCTTTCGCCACACTTTAAGTGGGTTTGTGTCTGAGAATTGAAACCCAGGCCGCCAGTTTCATTTTTAGAGAGCGCTCCAGAGGGTTCAAAAACAAGGCAAGTATTTCTGGGATGCTAGGCTGCCCATTGCCAGCTTAACCTTTCATGCCACCTGAAGCATTAAAACTGAGTTGAATAAGACATTCTCTGTCCCATCTCTAAAACAGCTGAGTATCTTCTAATGCGGTGTTTCTCAGCCTTGCCAGGTTTCAGGTGGGTGGACTTCAACTCCCAGAATTCCCCAGCCAGCAAAGCTGGCTAGGGAATTCTGGGAGTTGAAGTCCACCTATCTGAAACCTGCCAAGGTTGAGAAACACTGTTCTAATGCTTAGAGAAGGAATGTGGGTTGTAAAACTCTCTCTGGGTATGGAATCAGACTTCTTTTTCACGAAAACCCCATTTTCTCCCAGAGGAACACCCACTTTCAGAGTCTGCTACCCCAGCTGGCCAGGAAGAGCCCGGAATCTCCTGGAAGCAAGAATACTTGATAGCTGAGAGTTCGGATCACGGGCGGCTGGTGTGTATGGTGTGCGGTGGCATCTTGACCGCCTCCGGCCCCGTGGCAGCCCGTGAGCACATTTTGCAGCAACACGCTCACTCACTGGACTTCAGCCTGGAAGAGAAGCGCAACATCCTGGAGGGCTGGAGCGAAGGGGCAGTCCTTCCCGAAGCGGAGTCCCCCCCTTCCTCTGCAGGTAAATGGCTCCCTGCTGCGTTGCTATTCTCGCGTTACCTGGGCCGATCGGAACTGCCCGAAAGGTGTGTTTTTGAAACGGGTGACCTGGTCCTGCAGTTGCAGCTTCTGATTCCCTTTCTGGCCCTTCCCACCCCAGGCGGTCCCAGCGAGAACAAGCGGCCTGCGGAGATCGAAGTCCTCCTTGATTCGGAGGAGCAGCCGGTGAGCCGGAAGCGCGGGCCTGTCAAAGTGCGCTGCGGTGAGTGCTGGGTCACGGAGACGGCAGTCACCGCCTAGAGTGTCCTTTTCAGACCCAGAACCTCGCTGAACCCAGTGGGAAACCCAGTTCCTCGTTGCTGATGTTCTTTGCCACCCAAAACTGTCCCATCTGCCCCCGGGGAAGTGTTCAGACCAGCTGCACCCAGCCTTGTCATCAGCGGTCATGATCCCTGCCCCAGGAATCCATTTTGTGAGTACGCTTATGACAGGCTCTCAAAATTCCTCCCTGCCTACTGGCTGCCAAAGGTTTCCTCTCCCTGAGAGAGGAAGAGTAGCCTTAGCCCCTGGAGGCAGGTAAAGAAAGCCCCCTTTCTATGCAGCTATTAACAATGGGGCCTTCCTAATGCTGCTCAGTGACATCTCCCAGCATCCTGTGCTGTAGGCCACGCTCTCAGCGGGCTTCTGGGAGCTGTAGTTCACCAACTGGAGAGCACCAAGTTCCCCAGTGCTCTGCTTTGGCTGGGTTCGTGCAAGACACTTACTCGGGTGACTGTGATCTTTACCAGACTTAGCAAGAGGCACGGACATAGATGCAAAAATCTCTGAAATACCTCGATAAACGTTTTGTGCAAATGCTGCTGCTTCCTAACCATGCCTTAGCTTTTGTTCTCCTTTGTTGTAAAAGGAAACAAAATTGGGGCCCTGCCCCCACAAAGCTGCACCACTGTCCGAGACCCACAATTGAACTCACCCTGTCTTCTGATCTTTTCTCTTTTGGCAGAAGGGTTGCACTTAGAACCCGAACAGCGAACTCAAGTTCGACAGAGGCTGCCTGCCAAAGATTCGAGGAGCCGAGAGCCCATGGAGGCTGCAGGTAGCACAGGGTTGCCTGACCGTTTGCTTTCTAGGCGCATGGGGTATCTGCCCTTCTGAATCCTGTCTTCCAGTCTGTCATCCCTTTAATGTGCCGAGCGCCACTGTTAATGCTAAAGCAAAAGCTGATTCATTCAATAAACTCAGAAGGTCTTCCTCCAGCCTTCAAAACTCTAAAGGTCCTAGCCCAAATGGGAGCTTGAAAGCTGACCAACTTGGGGGGTTTGATTCTATAGAGATGATAAAAGTTTGACTTGATCAAAAAATGGAGGTTCGCATCTCTCTCTAACTTTCAGCAAAAGATGTTTTGTAAAATAGCTTGTGCAAAATAGAGGCTTTGGCGATCTTTACAAAATGTATGCCCATCGCACAACTTGGTTGCACTTCACGCTGAACGTACCCTTCCTCTCTTTGTACGCATCACAGCCATTTTTCTGCACCTTTTGAACTCCCTGCCTGTTGATGTGTCTAGTCATCAAGGTTCTGGATGAAACAGTGAAAATGTTCTTCGTTGATTTATATATGGCTTGGAAACGTAATCAGTACTTGAATAAAATCACAATTTTTATTGTATTCTGCAGGGAAAGAGCAGCAGGAAAGGTCATTAGGCTTATTTTATGTATTAGATTTGTATCCTGTCTTCTCAGATTAGATTCCTCCTTCGCCAGAGGAGCTAGACACCATTAGTGCCCCTTCCAATATTAAGACTTGGTTGGTTCTGGGTTTGTGAGAATCAGCCGTCACAGTGTTTACTTTTTCACCATTGATTTGCTCTCTAGGAAAGGAATGGCTCTCAGAATGTGGACTCCCCGGTTCGGCACCTGCTGAAATCCGGATTTTCACTGATGGTTCCTTCCCAGCTGGATTCACCTTAAAGCTGTACTGCCGTTCTCAGCCAGGTGGGTAGAAACTTTGGGGCAAAATGGTACAAATCCTGCTTCTTAAGGCTCTGAATATATTCACACAACTCCCTGCGTGAGCTTTGGCACGAATCCCAAATGAGGCCTTTAACTATGACTGCTCTAACAGAACCAAACTCAATCAGCCAGTTCCCCTCCAGGTGGGCCGGTATCTTGGCAGTCCCTGGCTGGCAAACCTCTTCTATCCCATATTTTAAAAAAAGTTAAAAAAAAGAAATGTTCCCGCCTCCCGTTTCTGTGCCAGAGAGCAGAAGTTTTTTTTTTTAAGTCATATACTCTCTGCCCTCTGGGAGCAATCAACAGTCAGAGCCATGGTGGAATTAAAGTAAATCATCTTCCTCTTCCTCCTTAGTTACTCATTAAATAAATCTATTTATTGTAGGTAAAGGCCTCATTCAAAGCCCCAGTTGAATCCATAGTCCAGGTTCATGTAAACCTAGCCATGGAACGCATCCCCGTTGGCACATTTAAGCTGCCCTAACTCAAAATATAATCTGAGCTTCTTCCTGGCCGCCACACTTTCACTTACTTCATTTCTCACTCTTGTGCATGCTGTGGTTCGCTGCCCCTCCATCCCTCCTCCTGAATTCTTTCCGCAGCATTAGTTCCGCTGCGCTTCTGTCACAAGTCTTTAAAGAAACACGTACCGTTTGTGCCCTGGCATAATCCTCTGTCCCCAAAGAGCCTGCACCCTTTTGGCATTTGGCTTGATATTTGTTCCCCAAAACTGCAGAAAACTTCTTGGGGGGACAGGAAGCCGAGCATTTGGGTTGTGCCTCTCCTACAGCAACAGCCGCGATATCTTTCTGTTGTAGAACCGTCCCAGGGCTCTGGAGCTAAGCCAAATACAAGGAAGCGAACAGTGGGTAAGCATGGATTTTTGTTCCTCTGAGATAGTGGGTATTGGTTCGATGTTAGGACGGCCACAAAATGGGGCGCGGGGGATTGTCTGTCCCATATTTCAGCTCAAGCTGCATTTCATTGGGCAGCAAGGCATCAGCAATGGGTTCCCCATGCCAGCAGTCACTTAGTCCAGTAAAAAATCCAGATAGGATAAAGTTCCTCTCCATTACAAGGAAAGACGATCCCTGTTTTGTGCCTCGGTCCATGTGGGTCTTGAAGGTTAGCCCTGAAACTAATTAAGAACTTGTGGCTGTTCCTCTTTCTTTGAAAAAACAAAAGTTGCTAGTCCTCATTGTTTTAGAAGAATGAATTGCAGAGGAACTGGAAGAGTTTGCAGAGAATTCTGGTTTAGTGAGCAAAAATTAGCATAAGTGTAATAATTGTACACAACTGGGAAGAGAGGTGAATCACCATTTGACTCCACTTTGCTTGGCACCTTGTTGTGCTTGTTCAGTCTTTATGGGCAGAAAAGTCATTTTGGAAATGCGAGCAGCGCCTAATAAAGTTGTAGGCGCCCAACATAAAAAGCACTGCAGCTGGATCCGGCCAGAACTCCCCATCCAGTCTAGCCCGCTGTCTCATGGAGGCCAACCTTGGCCATCTGGGAAGTTGGGAAGTTCGCAGACATGGGAAAGAAGTCAAGTGTTTTGCTCTCCTGTTGTTGTTCTTCAAGGCAGACCGTGTGTGATTTCAGAGGCTGTCTGTGGCTGTAAAGAACAGCAGCCGTTGGTCAGAGTCTTTGAGTGTAGCAGTACAGAAATGTGCGAAATGAGTAGATTAAAAAAATAGGCCGGCCCCCAACTTTCAGCCTGTGGTGCATATCTAATGGGGGGGGACTCCCCAGTTTAATTCTGGGTTGGGTGAAGAAAAACATCCCTTTGTCTCCTGAATCTCCTTGGCTTTCGTTGCAGTGGGTGATCTTAAGTTGTGTGTGTGAGAAAAAAACGGTCGCCCTGCATTCATTGTATGTACCACCCTATCATGCTTTCAGCCCAAAGGTTGCTGAATCGGGTTTTTGGCGGTTGGGGTGTGGATCCACTGTTTTTTTGCTCCTTCAGTGGAGAATGAAAGGCAAATAAATTAATAATAGAAAGCTAAAATACAGATGAAATGGGTGCCCATCTGGCCTGGGTTACTGAGTTTTAAAATGGGTCTGGATTTGGCTTGTTCACCTGCAGAGATTTAGAATTGCTACAGGGAGGAAACCAGGTGAAGCCAAATTCCTGGGAATGGGGGATTCTTAAATTATTATTCACAAGGTCCCTTGTTTTCCCTCTCCCCTTCTGATCTTAATAGCAATCTTTAGAATAAGGAGTTGAGAGAGCTGTTTTCCCAACAATATTGTGAGCTAGCCAGTTTGGTCTAGCGGTGAAGGCACGAGGCTAGAAAGCAGGAGACGGTGAGTTCGAGTCCTGTCTTAGGCATGAAGGCCAGCTGGGTGACTTTGGGCCGATCCCTCTTGCTCAGCCTCTCAGGGTCAGTCAATTCCTGTTGCAGCCAACGAAGCAAACATTCAGTTGAACCCCCCCAAAAAAGTGAACCCTGCACCTGCAGGAAAACCACTAGGAAGAAAAAAAAATTGTGAGCTAGCTCTCTGTTGAAATGCAAAATATTGGGGATGCTCAGCCTTGAATTGGCAATTAAGAGCTATTAGCCTTACAAAAGGCTTGTTCTACTGGCAGTGAAAACTGTTAGAAAATGTGGGGGGGGTCCCCTTCCCCTGCCCCCAGTACAAGAAGATGTGGCTGACTTTTATTTTTCCTCTGCCACATGCTTATCCAGCAATCTATACCTTAATCAAGAATGAAGCTTTGCAAGCATCACAAATTGCAGGCCGTTTTCTGTAGGAGACCTGAGAAACCTGCAGCCTTCCAGCTGTTATGAAAACACCTTTCTCCCTTGGCTGTTCTTGAGCTGTGGAGAGTTGCAGGCCAGAGACATCTAGACACTTGGCCAACATAATGCCTTAACATGCTTTCACTCGTAATTCATTTTTTTATTCCGTTTTTCATCCATTCTTTGTTGCACAGGGTTATGATTGCTTCGCATACACTGCATGCACATAAACTCCCTGCGAGGTAGGCCAGGCTCAGAATGAGACTGGTGGAGGGTTAATATCAGGGGTATGAACCCGGGTGAGGTTCTACTCACCAGCAAACAAACCACAACCCTGTTTTGGGCTGCCAGCATTTTAGATAAATTGGCCATTGCACGCCTTTTCTTTGCTAAATGCTGTGTTCATCTAGACCAGTGTTTCTCAGGGAATTCTGGGAGTTGAAGTCCACACATCTTAAAGTTGCTAAGGTTGAGAAACACTGGTCTAGACTGGGTTTGCATGCCACAGCAAACCAGGTTTGCTTTAAAACCAGCCTGTTGAATTAGCAGCAGTTGGCTGATTTCACATGCCATGTCTTAAATGAGGCAGACCATATTATGGCCTACATTTGTGGGAACGATTTTCTGTCCCCCGTGGAGTTTTAAACATACCAAGAGGTGTGTCAGTACTTTAAATTAATTAAGGGTTTAAGTCATTCACATCCAGGGAGGGGAGAGTACGTTCAGAAGAGGCAGGTGGAGAAAACAACATTGCTTTTCATGGCTTGGCCAGCTAAGGTTGGATTGGTTGAGATGTCAATGGGGGCAGAGGGTGGGAATGGCAGAGACAAGAAGGGCCAGTCGTTTGGGGGGCCGTAACTTTGGTGCCACTCTGGGGGCTGCGTTTCTTGAGTCCCAGCACTGTGGTTTTCAAGTCCCCAGGAACTCATCTGCCCTTTACCCATGACCCAGGCTGGCTAGGAATGCTGAGATCCGTGGCTTGGAGACTGCTGCCCTTCCTTATGCACGTTCTTACTTACACTGACCACCAGGAGGCAGTGTGGGACTATCTGGGACAAAACTGGTCACATACCATCTCCTGGTGGTCAATAGAAGTCCTCGCTTACCAACTACAATTGGGACCAGCAACTCCATCACTAAGCGACACGGTCATAAAGTGAAAAATCATGTGACTGCACCCAACTTGCAACCACGGTTCGTCAGTTCCGGCTGCAATCATTAAGTGAATCAACACAGGTTGTTAAGCGCGACGTCATGCAACCGTGACTTGCAACTTCCTGCTGGCTTCCCCATTGACTTTGCTTGCTGGAAGCCGGCTGTGAAGGTCGCAAATGGCAATCATATGACCGTGGGATGCTGCAACCGTTGTAAATGTGTGCTGATTGCCGAGCACCTGAATCGCGATCAACATGGCTCTGGGGATGCTGCGATGGCCACAACTTCAAGGACCCGTCGTAAGTCTCCTTGTTCAGTGCCATAGTAACTTCAGTCGGTCACTGAACAAGTGGACATTAATCAAGGGCTACCTACAAAGTCATTTCCAAGTGGGGGGTGGGAGTCATGTAAAACCTCATCCCGGCAGACGTGATGTAGTGTAGCATCCATGTCTCTCTGCCCAGAGAGCTTAAGGTGGACTGTATAAACCATTCCGAAAGATTACGCACGGCCTGCCTCTTTTCCCAGATCGCGACTGCTCCGTGTCTCTGCTGCGGCTTCACTCCAGGGATGCTGCCGGTCACCTCCACCCAAGCCAGGACGCCCTCACCCCCCCTTGCCCCCTGGGCAGCTCCACCGGCAGCAGCCCCAAAGACTGTGGGGCAGCTCAGGGGGCGGGCAAACGGGGAGCTCGCACAGGCAAGGAGGCCGCCCCACTCTTAGGCAAGGCCTTCAACCCCACCTGGCGCGCTCGCTTCCTGGTGGACTTCGATGCCGCCACCGGCCACCTGGTGTGCATGGTTTGCGAGTACCCGCTGAGACGCATCTGCCTGGCCACCGTCAAGCAGCACATTCTCCAGTGCCACGCCGAGACCCTCCAGATGCCTCGCGAAGTCCGCCGCACCATCCGCGAAGTCTGGGAGAGCCGGGGCCAGCCGCCCACCCAGGTCTCGAGGAAGTGAAGGGTGGGTGGTTCTCCATCCAACCCCACTCCGTCCGTCGCAGGAAGCCCAGAGAAAGGGTTAAAAGATGACAGAACTCTGGACCAGGCCTAGGGGCGGAGCTTGAGGGAAGGAGGCTCCGCCCCTCCTCAGAAGCCCCGCCCCAACGCCATCACTCAGACCTCCCTCGCTGGAGAAAATAAGCAGATCCTGGGCTCACTCTGCCGCAGTTCTTCAACCGCAGGACTCTTAACCGTGCTTATTTTTTGTTTCGTTTTTTCAGTTTCGCTAATTTTCAGTCCTAAGCAGAAACAGCTCTGCCTTCTCTCTGGCCCATCCCATTCCCTGCCTCCTTTCTCACCAGTGTAGCTCCACGCCGCAGCCGATGATGAGAACAGAGAGCGAAAGCACCCAAATCTGCAAGGAGAGATGGGAGCGTTTGCCGCCGCCTCCCCTTAATCAGGGACGACTTAAGAAAAAAAGAGAAAACTCAGGGGAAAATCTTTTTTGAGTTGCAGACGGCCCTTTTCCTGCCCCCCCCCCTTTTTTTACTTCTGTCCCCACAAAGGTTGCAGGAAGACACTGGCCACCTCATTGCTGGAACTGCCTTTGCCACGGGGAGGACACTTCGTAGCAGTTGCTGCGTCCATCGGCTGTAATTAAAGGGACGCCGGGCTTTGGCTTCCTGGTTCGACCGGCGGATAGAAACGTCCGCCTGGGCCTTCACGCGGATTCATGCCCCGAAGGGAGCAGTAAATTATTTTTACGATCCACTGTGGCTTTTTAGGTCTCCTTCTGTCTATGTACGTTCTGTGTTTGATCACTGCTTTGTTCGTACTCCTGCCGGGAGGAAAAGGCTTTTCTCTTTCATTTCGTTAGAGTTCTTGAGCAGAGAAGGGGCGGCCGGATCCGCGCATTGCGCTGAGCTATCCTGTCGTTCGCGTTGTGGTTTAGCGTCTGCCCGATGGCATGTTCAGCTAAGCAAACCCTGGCTTGATAACAGCGTGCGAAGAAGCCGTGTCCTCTGTGTGTGCCTTTATTATCCAGGTGACAGGCAGCAGTTCAGCAGGTGCAGGCCTCCCCTTGCAGGAGGGCAGCAAGTCTCTGTAGCCCCTGTTTTAGAAAGAAGCATTTATTCCCTTTCTGTTCCAGGGAAAGGATCCTTAATGCTGCTGCTAATTACAATAAAACCACTGAAAACTTTTTCGTTTTGGATTGCCGTGCAATTTCGCTTGGCGCCTCTCGCTGGTAAAAGGGGCCAGTTAGGGATGGAGGACAATCGTGGAGGATCAAAAATGCTTCCGCGTGATTTGAATTCAGCAGGACGTTTGCTTCTCCGGTCCGACCCCGGCAAAAGAGGAACAGCGGCAAATGTTTTAGTGGAAAAGCTCAACCAGTTCCCAGAAGCACATATGCGGCACGCATGTTGCAAGGCACTTTTTCCTGTCTGCGTTGCCATGCGTTCTTTCTAGAGCTGGAGATGGCACCTCCCCTAGGGCAAACTGAGACCCCCCCCCCAAAGCATTATCCAATGCTGGACGTCTCTTCCCTACTTGAAGCAAGTGACGGAAGCCAGGGATGGATTTCTAAATGGTGGTGAATTCATTGTGAAACAGACCCACTGGAGTTTCCTATCCAAAGCTGCTTTAATAGAGGTAATAGAGTTGAACTGATCCTTTCAGGGAAAGACCCCCCCCCAGCCCTCCCCCTTCCAAAGAGAGTCTCATTACAAAAGCAGAAATCACATTTAATAAATTAAGTGAGGCCTTTATAGCCGGGCCTAATAAATAACAAAGGCAAGGTCCAAAGAGAAACAGCAGGCAGGAGGAGGAATCTAATGGCAGGAGGCAGTATTGAAAGTACAAAAGTCTAAAAAGAGAGAATGGAGGAGAAATTTGCACTCGCCACCAGCACAGCTGCCACGTGGGAAGGGCGCCGAGGATGCACAGTTGCTCAGTCCGGGGATAATTTAAGCAAAGCCGGGAGCGCAGGTTTACGGAGGCAGGTGTGTATACACACATGCGTGTACAAATCAGCCAGAAGCTTCAGTCATTTTGAATTGGGCATTCTGTGCATTCAAGGGTTTTTTGTTTGTTTTCTGAGTTTCGGAAACGGAATTTGCGTTTCCAAATTTAGCCGCCGTTTCCCACGTCCTCCCCTTTAAAACCCCGACAAGGCTTCTGGGTACCCCCAAATATTTAGGGAAAGCAAAACGATATAAATTGGCTTGCAAAAGAGGCTTCGAGACAGTCGTTTTGGATGGCGTTCTGGAGGGCCAGGCTTTTGAAACGCAGCCCCGGCTTCATTGGGGCACATTCACGGCTTCTTGGAACCGCATCATTGCCGTTAACGTTGGAGGGAAATACTGGGGCTTACCCCCCCAAATTGCCAATCCCCCTGGCCAAATGTATTAAGTTTATGTCCCTTTCTTTGCCAAACCCCTTAAATTTGTTTTAAACAAACAACCCTGCAATGTGCTGAAAAATATTTTGGGCTCCATCCTTCCTGGAAGGTTCCATAGCAAAGATGGATTTGACCTGGGTCTCCCTGTTCCTAATCCAACCTCTGCCCCATAACCCCACCCTAGGAATTTCAGAGGGTCTTGATTCTGTAAAATCTTGCTGCTGGCAGTATTCAGAGTCAAAAGGGAACAGAGGAATGGTGCAAATATTGATCACCTAAGAAACTTTTTCAGGGAGAGACAAACACAGAAACTACGAAGATTTTTGTCACAGTTGTGTGGCTTGGGTTTGTTTTTTTTTTGGCATGGTCAATGACTGGAGGAAAAGGAGGGCCTGCCTGCTGCCCACTTCTCACTGCGTTCCCCCCACCCACCCATTTCTTAAAGCCATGTTTTTTCCCTCTTTACGCCCGCTTTGCAGGTCCTTGCTGGTGATGGGCTTCAGTCAACAAAGGGGGAGAAATGAGACATGGAAGACCATTGAAATCCACAGGGCATACGGCAAACTCTTTGCACTCCCCCCTCTTGTGGCAGGGGGGCACGGGTGCTTTTCAGAAAAGGCACCCTCCGGCAAAAATGTGCCTGTGTGTATATATTGCATCTCAAGTCAGAGGGGAGGGAGAAACCATCTCGGCTTCACCTTCCCCAAATAAATCAGGGAAGGCAGAGGCCTCTATAAGATAGGGCCTCTGTTAACCTTGGCTGTCGTGGATGATGGGAATGGGAGTCTCAACCCAGCTGGAAGCTTCCAGCATCCCTAAGTTAAACATCCCTGGCCAACGATGGGGAGGTGGGTTGCCTTATCTGGGCTGAGAGGGGGGCTCCTGTTCCCAGCCCCCACATTATTTACCCTTTGAAGATTCAGTCCATGTAGTCAGTGGGGGCCGTTTGGGGTCTGCGTCTGGGGGCAACGTAACTAATCTGGGGGCAACTCTTGAAAGAGGCTGCATCTGTTCCTTCACTAGCGGCCCAGGAAAAGCTACTTTAAAAAGTTGTGGGTTGCAGCTACGGCTCAATCGGGATCACCATTTTGCAACCGGTTCTGACGCTACGCAAACGAAGTAACCCACCTCAAAGAGACAGCCCAAGCAGAAAAACTGGGGAGGGGAGAGAGAGAGACCTGGTTGCCCCCATTAAGTGGGGGGAGAAGGAGGATGAATCTCACTCCCCACCTTTCCGTTTGCAGCAAGATTTTTTTTTTTTTTACCCTGAAGGAAAGTCTGCAGTCCCCAGCTTTGGGAATGCGTTCCACCCCCAGCCACCCCATTTCACCTCCCCATCAAACACTTTCTGCCTCTTGCAGACACACAAACACAGACAGTTGGCAAGTGCACGAGGGATTCCAATATACTGCTCTCCACAGTAAAAAGGAAGTAAACCGGAGCTTTTCTTTAAAAAAGGCAGTGGCAAGGGACAGCACCCCCCCCAATTTATACACACACACACGTGCACACACACACCCAATAAATTAACCTGGCACACCACAGCCTCCCCCCCAATCACTCCCCATTCCCATCCCACCCTGATGCCAAGGTAGACTCGCCTGGAAAAGTCAAGGTGGGAGTTGAAACCGCGGCACCCGCTAAATGTTGGCAGTGCCACCCAGATTCACAAAACCAAGTGTTGGCAGCCTTTGGCAGTTTGTGTGTGGAGACGTAGCGTCAAGCGCTTCCACACCAAAGGCAGCCCGACACGGGATCTGCCCGGGGTTGGTTTCCGTGAGGTTCGGGATTCATTAGTCAGCTTGCTGCTTTGGCCATCTGGGGGGTCTGCCCTCCTGCTGCCCGCCCCCCAGCCCCTTATTGCACACACACCCCTTTCCCAGCCCTGAGAGTTGACGGAGATCCCCCGGCGCTCCATCCAGTTCACACCTCGGTCTCCACGCCGGCCAGCTTGGGGGTGAGGATGCGGGGTGTGACGCCGGCGTTGAGGTCCGTTTCAAACTGCAAGAGCTGCCCCATGAAGTTAAGGTTGGGCGAAATGACGGACCGGCGGCCCTTGACGTACTTGTAGGCGTCGCCCATGGTCATCAGGGTGTGTTTCATCAGGTAGGCGATCACGATGGTGGCCGAGCGCGAGACGCCAGCCTGGCAGTGGATGAGCACCCCCTTGCCACTCTGGTGAGCCTCCTCTGCGGTTGGGGAGAGAAACAGCAGCGTCAGAGGCCCTGGCTGAGATACATCCCGGCTAACTTGCCACAGAACCAGGGTTAGCCAAAGACCATTGCTGAGGGTCAAGAGCATTCTGGATTATCTTATTCTAGCTCAGTTTAGTGTATTGTGCAAGCCTTCAATATCCACCTCCTGGTTTTCGGAGTAGTGTTTTGTAAGCAGCTCCTTGTCTGTTCGGCTTGGATGAATTCAGGGCTGGCTGCAGGGCGAGTCGGGCAGAGCCCTCAAGAAATCAGGGACAGGTTTTTTTAAACCTGCAGGTGATCAACTGATGAGGATTTTCAAGGCTGGGTTATTCGGCGTCCAGATAAATCCAGCCCGGGGTGCGTGGGTGTTCTCGTCCATCTAAGGCAGGGTTTCTCAACCCCTGCAGCTTTAAGACGGGTGGACTTCAACTCCCAGAATTCCCCAGCCAGCATGCCCAGCATTCTGGGATTTGAAGTCCACCCATCTTAAAGTTGCAGAGGTTGAGAAACACTGATCTAAGGTGAAAGAGAACTGATGTTTCATAACCCAAAGTTGTACACTGTCTCTGCTTCCAACATTTTAGGAAATGAAAAGTTATTCTAGAGTTTTTTTGGTGGTCCTAGGATGGAGGCACCGGGAATGCCATTTTGTTCAACCAGGCTGGATTAGGCCCATAAATTATTGCTTTCCCGTTGCCCTGTGTGGTTCTCGGTGTCGTTGCAAACCGGCTTCAAGATGAAACCACCTTAGCTCAGCGGCCGAGCATATCAATTGCTCACAGAACTTGCTAGGGTGGACAATTTTCTCATTTGGGGTTTGCAAACCATGGTTTATGGCTTAGCACGCTGGGCAAATTCACTCAATAGTAACATAGTCGAGACTTCGTGGCTTAATTTGATGGCAGCCTAGCAGAATCCCACCAGGCTTAAAATTGTCTGGTTTGGGCTAGTGTGTTGTGCGAACTCAGCCATTTATAAACTATGGCTTGTGCCTTAGCATGGTGCAATCCTAGCCATTGTGGCTTGTCCCACAAACCATAATTAAAACAAAGTATGGTTTAGCACCATGCAAGAACCCAAGCTCTGTCTGAAACCCCAGAGAGGGGCTGCTAGTCAAACAAAAGATTATTTGAGCCTTTAGCCCGCTATTTCTCAACCTCAGCCCCCTTTCATATGGACGATATTGAATTTAATACACAAATCCTTCATCCACACAGCGCAACGACTGGCGAGAGTGGTG